ATCCAAGCGTGTGATCATTTACTCATTCCTTTTACACATCAGATCCATCTGGGCTCCAAAATACTCTAGCAGAATCTGGTGTCGTCAGCAACTTCACAGAATACATCTGATTATGTTAGAGGGAGAATTTCTTTTATGTCTGGTTTTCTAATTCTCTGCAATAAATCTATTTATCCTTTTTGAATTTGCTTGGGAATGCAGAGTGTGGAGAGAGTCTAATCACCATACCTAGTATGAAGCCTTCATAGGAGGGGCTCTGTCCTGATCTGTTAGGCACTTTTTGAATTTGGATCTATAGCAATTTTAGTAGAGTGTTATACTCAGATGACAGATCACAAGCATGGAAGAGATGATGAAGTAGGACGCAGATCTCCTAATGTTCCTGTCCATACAACCCTACTCTGTATGTGTGATCAGCTAAGCTATTTCTGAACACAAGTCTCTTTTCTGAAAGAGCTCTAAACCTGACTCTCTCTCCACTTTAAACAGTACAAGCACTCTCTCAAGAGATACATTAAACAAGTCTAGCACAGTTTCAACAGAGTGCTAAATCCATATTTAAAATGCAAGTTTAGCACTTTTTCAAAAGAATGTTAACCCTGTTTATAAAAAGCCAACTTAACATTGAAAAGCACTAATCAGGCCTGAACTAAAATGGTCATAGTTCCCAGTGTGGTAGATCATATCCATGATAAAATGTCAGGAAAAAACACTATTTTAAAACTGGAAGAATGACTTCAAGCTGTCTCAGCAACTTCATGAGAAATCGGCAGAGAAAAAGTGATTACTGAAGTGTATTTATTCTGCAGTTAGGGGGATATTAAGAAGTCTCCTAAAATTATTGTCAGATGAGCTATCAAGCATTGGTACCCTGACACACTGCCTGTCAACAACTGATAATAGATGTGGTTGATTATGATTGTCTTGTCAAGAGAGATGAAACTTTGACATCCTCCACCAACCTAGAGGTCTCTGGGAGCTGTAAAAAGGATGCATCTTACACTAATAAATCAGTCATGTAGAAATATATTGACAAACAGAAATCTATTGAAATGCCAATATCATCAACACTCAATCTTTGACTCAGCCTGCATGTAACTGTAATCAAAACTACAGATAACAGAAATATTAAACTTCAATGATTAAGAATATTTCAGTGCTTCCACCAAAACAAAAGTCTGCTAAGTGCTAGTATCTTTCAAATGTGTCACCATTAGGACATGGATTGCAAATGAGTATTATTGATTTTTTTCAATACATTCATTCATTCTGTTAAGTTATATGGCTGCCCATTTTAATCAAGTAACTCTAGGCAGCTAACAAAGGCATTAAAACAAAAACATACATATAAAAACAGGAGAAAGAACAATAAAATACAACAGGTAAAAATACTCAACCCCTCAATCAGTGCAGGACATCATTAATAATGTCCTAAAGCCTGAGGAAGAACCATGTTTTTAGGCCTTTTGAAAGGCCAATAAGGTTGGGGCCATGCACACCTGGGGGTGTGTGCATGCTGTTCCCCAGGGTAGGAACCACTGGGTGCATACTGTCCCTACTCACTACAGAGAATATTTAATCATTTAAATATAATTAATATTTTTTCAATAGAATTAAATATTTTCAAATACTTTTGTTAGTCCTAAACCTTCAAGACATTAAATAAATCACCTGAGAATGTTAAATAAATATACACAAAAGTAAGCCTGTATGTCTAAGAATGCAACAAGATTATGACTTACTGAACATTTGCCAATTCTACTGTATTTTCTTCCATTGTCATTAACACTATATATATAAATAGAATTGTCGTGAGAACCTATTGCCAAGAAGTTGCCATCTGCAAAACAGAAACAATAAAACTATAATCACACTGATTTATGAAGCAGAAATGCCACTTGAGCAAGCACTTTAAAAGACATCTGAAAGTCAGATTGCACACACCAGGGTACTGGCAAAATCTCTTTCTCCTACATGAATATTTCCATGTGCTCAGCTTAAATCTGAGAAGACCCTATTTCAGGGAATGAAGACATCTAAATTTATGTCCATTGATATAAACAGCAGCACCATTTCAATGATGGCACCTTCTTTGTGCAATTCTCTCCTTAAGGCATTTCCAAAGCTTTTTAGGGTAGTGGGATATGGTGTTGGGCTGTGATGATTGCTTTTTAAAAATTTATTCTTAGCTGACTTTTATCATATGATTTGTTTAATTTTATTGTACATGTTTTGTTTTGTTTTGTTTTGTCTTGTCAAGGAATTGAATTTTAGATGCTGTCCTTGACGGGCACTACAGTACAATTTGAGGTTTTGATAATTACTAGGATTATAATATAATATAGTATATATTTCACTGAGAGCTTGTATTCAATCGTAGAAACCACAAGATATTGGAAAACTTAAGACTTGCTTAGCTACTACAGGGGCAATCTTTTACTCATGTTTCATTCAGATCAATGTGACTTGAAAAGAGCAACGGTGGTTTGAATCACAAGGGATGAATGCACAAGTCCACTGCACTGAGTCAATATCAAAAGTAAGCTGTTAGCATGGCATCTATGACAAGTGAGAGCATGGCAAAAGATATAATCACAGCAGTAATGCTGGTTGATTGCACAGCAGTTGGGTACTGAGATCTCTGGATCCCAAAAGTGGCCAGGATGTGCCCCAATCCAACTTTGCATTATTACAAGGGAGAAGGGAATTGTACCTATGTGGTTAAATTCTACTATATTTGCTTATTTTGTATCTTCTGAAAAACAGGCATTAAGTCTGCTTCTTATAACTACATTTTATGTCACATCAAGCTCCCCACATTAGGACAAACCTGATGTATCTGGATTTTTTGACACAACATGTCATCATTCTACTATTTTCAAAGGGATTCTAGTAACATGATGCATGAGCTCAATCCAAACATCACACCAAAATCAAATGAACTGACTGAAATGTCAAGTCATGATAGCTTCATTAAGCTAAAACTCAATGATGTGAATTGGCAACTGATGAAAAAAAATAAAAATTTCAGTTTCAGTTGAAATGCTATTCTGATAAAAAATTAAAATATATTCTCTATTCACTTGTTTATTTCCAGAGATTCTGAGCAGCAGAAGCAAGAAATGCAAAACTGTTATTTATGGAGGTTAATAAATATATGTTATAAAAACTCTTTTTTGATTAAGCAACTGGACAAGTGATGCCAAACTAAACAATTCCAAACCTGGTGAGTAACGCATTGTGGACAGCTGTTCATTTCCATCAGTGTGTACAGTGACTAAATCCTTTGTTTCAGTATCAAACACAAACCACCTGTTAAAAACATTGTGAGGAAAATTTGAAAAAGTTGTTTCATATGAAAGCTGTTGAATCAGATTAAAGTATATGTTGACATTCCTTAACAGTTCTTGTTGTTTTATAAAGGACGTAAACTATTACTCTAAACATTAAAAGGATGACAGCTATAATTTTTAGCATAAAAACTAAACATTAAAATTAAAAGGCCTAAGTAAATAAATAAACTGAAAAAGGGAAGAGCCTTGCTTCAACCCCAGTGGCATTTCTTTTTGTGATATGGGTCCCATGACAGAAAGCCAAATTGGTCTTTAATGCCAAAAGTATCCATGATTTAAACCATAAAAAGTGTCTTACTAATAGTGTGGGGTACTAATAGTGTGGGGTAGACCGTACATAACATGGACCTAAGCCACATATGCCTTTATACACCATTATGAACACCCTGATTTGAACAAGGAAGTAGCTGGCAACCAATGAGTCTGTTTCAAACAGGTTAACCTGAGTCCCTCCAGGAAGCATCATTCACCATCCATGCTGTTGAATCCTGGACTATCTGTATATCTGAAGCACGTACTACAGATACCATACAAAGAACATACTAAAATAGTCCAGGCTTCAGGTTACCAGTACTTGATTACTGACCCCAAATCTCTCTTCCAGACAAAGACTCACCTAGTTTTTCAGCTGAATGTACTAAAGACATTCCTTGGCACAGATACAGTATTATGTAGCATCCACCACTGATGCTGGATCCAGGAGGACCCCAAGTGAAACCCTGTATCTTATGGGGGATCACAACCTTTTCCAGAAGAAATGTATCTCTCAAATCCTGAAAGCAGGCTCCTCAAGCCTATCTTCTCTGATTTCTTTTCTATCCACTCCTTTAGAAGCTGGAGATCCCTGATGTTCAAGAACATCCAAGAACCTTGAGCTCATGGCTGAGTATCACCAGCATGCTGATGACAACTAGTTTCAAAGTTGCAAATAATCCTTCACATCAATTTTATATATGTGCTAAGTAACATTTGTTACAGGATGGAGCATTGTAGGACCATCTACAACAGTTCTCAAAGCACTAAGCAGAAGTTGCCCAGTATAACTTTCTAACAATACCCAGAGAGTTATGAGTCAAACCACTGTAAAATAGCCCCTCCAACCCCCAGCTTTCCTCAAATGCTCCAACAAGATTCTATGATCGATAGTATCAAAAGCCACAAAAAGATCCAGGATATCAACAGGGTTACATTACCTGTCCCTTCCTAAGGGTATCTCAATGCCAAATCTGTCTCTAAACTCAAATTAGAAAGGATTAAGACAATCCATTTCATGTAAAAGCTCCTGGGGCTGCAATGCTACTGCTCTCTCCAACTGCTTGGTTAAATATACAGTGTTGGACACTGTCTAATGGTTAAAACTGCCTAGGTCCAATAATAGCTTTTTAAACAAGAGTCTTTTTTTAAGGTGGTGGAGAATTTTCTCTGCAAAAGAGCAGCAGGATCAGGATGGAGCCTTTAGTGACCCTATACATCATTATTAGGGAGGCTCTATCCTGGGATTGGCACAAACAGTTCAAAGAATCTTACCCTCAGTGGTCAAGTAACAAAACAGACAGACACCAGTAGATAGGGTGCCCTACGTGACACTGAGTCTGGCATAAGACTAGGTGATTGTTTGTGAAACACTGCCCAAACTAAGCATAATTGACCTCAGAAGGTATTAGAGCACTGATAGGAGCACCTGAGGTTGAGCTATCTACCCAACAATCCTAAAAAGATCCTTTGAGTTACTTCAGCTTGATTAAATAAAAATGTCTTTGCTGTGAGTAAGAGATCATAAATGAATTCACTGCATCAACAGGTCTGCTTCTGTTGTTGCCTAGTTTTTGCCATCTTTTATTCTTGTTTACCACTGTCTTGTTTTATTTCTTTTTATGTTTTACTTGTGAACCACCTAGAGTTGTTGGGAGTTTGGGTGGTGTACAAATATCTTATATGTCTAGGCTTTGAACATGAGATTACATGTTATTTCAGAATGTCAGATACATAAAATCTATATATAAGAAATCTAACATGTCAACAATTCAGGATGGGGACTTGTAAAACTCCTATGAATCATTACTATTCTTTCTTTATGAAACATTCTCCTAACTCATATACAAAGGTCAATATTTATATGAGTTTGGACTGAATTTAACTTAAAATAACACATGGCATTCAGGATCCAATTTCATGGTTCCCTGAGAAGATACTCTATAGAACTCACCTTAACTGGAAAGGAAGGCCAACATAGGCAGCATGCCACTGAAGGTTCCTTTTTGCATCAAAGATAATTTCTGTAATTATACTTTCTCCACAGCTCCTACTTAAAAGTATGAGGATGGGAAAAAGGCATAGCAGGGGCAGATCTCTTAAATCTAAAATCCTCCCATTCTCCTGACAATTATTAAACGCACTGATCCTATAATTCTGTTCTGGCAGATAATTCTAACCTTAACTCTAGCAAGACTTTGGATTGTGTAATTGTCATATTGGGGAACATCAACATCCAGGAAAACAGAACTGCTCTATAAATACTGTGCCACAATAAAATCTTTACATGGTCACAATTTCTAAACTTAAAAGTTAGTTATTAAAAGAGAAAAAAGCAAACATTCATATGGGATAGCACAAATTCTGTAAGGTAACTTGAGCAGTTCTTTAAATCTCAGTATACCTGCTATGTGAAAAAAAACCTTTCTGTTGCATTTTTACACATAAATAAGTATTCGCAATTATTCTTGTGAAATATCTTAAACAGTTCTGATATACCATGTGTTACAACTCTAGATTGTATCTGTTTCCTTCTATTGATAGAGGTGTTTTAATTTAGTGGAAGTTTCTTTCAACTGAACAGAGATGAAGGCATGTTTCAATGTACTGTCCTCCCTCTGCAGCACTCTATGCCATTCTGCACAGTGTTCTAAAATATCCAGCAACATTTTGAATCAGATTAGGGACACACAGAAATAATAGAAGAAACAGGGAAAATTACCTCCATTTCCATTCCACTGATCCATTAGTGGGGGATAAAACCCTCTGTATTTCCAAAAAGTGGAAAACTTCTATTCCATGTGAATATTTAATGACTATGAAGCAACATCTTTAAGACTCACCTTCCAGTTAGTGTTCCTACTGCAACCACAGACCCTGAAGGATGAAAACCAGAAGACTGTGCTGCATCCTACAACATTCCAAAAGAATTACATGTATTCAATTATTATAGCCGCTCAAAACATTTATATATAAATCAAATAGTTATAAAGCACAGCCTATGCTCTCTTATCCTTTACACTGCATGTTTTAAAAAAATCTCATGAATTAACAGCTCAGTTTACTTGGCCTGTCACCTGGGAAATGAAAAGGAATACAACTTGAGCCAGAGGAAAAATGGATTATTCCACATATTCCAGAAACAGTGCCTCAAAGCCATCAAAATTAATTTGGTGATATGAAGTTTGTAGCATAATTTAAATAATCATACTGAACTGTGGCAGTGAAAATAAGATTATACAGATATAGCATACTCTCAGAGAAGGATATGTAGCAAATTTTAGATATCACCAACAATATGAATAAAGTTCCTAAGACATTTAAGACATTAATACATAGGATGAAGAACTTGCCTAATAATGTGAATTTTTTTTTTTAGTACAAGACTTCTAAAAAAGTTTTTATGTAACAGAATTGTGTATTTTTTAAAATACATTAAAACCAATATATTGAGATGAAGGCTAAATGGAAATGCTAGGATTCCAGAACTGAATATTGATATCAACAGACCTTTCAAAAATAAAATATATCCCTGAAGGCACCTGAATCCACTTGGGAGAGGAAACTGGAGCCATATAGGATTTATGTTGATGCTGTTGCTACCCTGTCTTTGTGCCTGGAGGCTGTAAGGGCTTGGATGGAAAACAACAGGCTTCAACTGAACCCTTGCAAGCCTGAGTGGCTTTGGGTTTTAGGGCCTTCTGGATCTGGGACTTTACCATCTTTGGTGCTGGATGGGGTCACACTGCACCAAATAGACTTATTGTGCAATCTGACGGCGGGGGGGAGGCTCCTGGACTTACAACTCCTGCTTGAAGAGCAGGTGGCAGTCGTACCACAGCTTTGTGTTGTGTGACAGAGCCTCATGATCACTCCTGGATCATGAGGCTCTGCTCAGTTGCTCATGCCCTGGTCATCTCCTGTCAGCCTTTCGAGGTAGACCAGACAGGAAACTTGACCAAATTAGCTAATTCTACTTTATTGTAAGGTTACATTAACAGAATCTTGCAAGTCTGAAAGTACACCTCTCCCTTTGTCTCCTTTACAGCCCAAGAATCTAGAGAGGGTCTCTTCTGAGCCTCTTGCCCTTCCCACATTCCTGCTGCAGGCTAAGCTGCCTTTTATCTGACCGTTCCCTTGTTGCATCTCGTTGCCCTGTCTCCCACATTACCATTACATCACTGTCCCCTTCAGACTCAGCCTCCTTCCCAGGTTCACTGGGAAAACTGATTGTGGGCTGTGAAAACAAAGTGCAGCTGTGTCGCTCCCCTCTTCTGCTGGTAACTCCCAAGAGCACACAAGGTGTCCTGCAATCCATCTGCACCTGTAGAGGTGACTGCTGCCCCCCCTCCCGCAATACCCTGTATGCCTGATGTGAAAGGAGCTGTGTCATTTTCCCTGCCCCCACTTGGTCTTGTTATCCCCAAGGTGCCCTCCACCCATACCTCCTGTCCATCTTGGTCAGCGCCAAACTCCTGCAAGGCCAGTAGTTGCCTAGGACAGGGCTTGTCAGAGTATTGGTCATGAAAGTAGTGCACCAACTGTAGCGTGTGGATGTCCACTGCTGTCTCCCATGACCTCTCCAACTCTGGGTAGCCTTTCCAGTGGATCAGTTATTCAACCCGCTTCCCTCTGCATCTAGAGTCTAGCACTGCCTCCACCTTGTATTCTTCCTCCCCACTTTCCAGTATGGGAAGGGGGGCTGCCTGTGAATGCAGCGTGCAGGGGGGCACCTCTTTCATTAGCAAAGATGGATGGAACACAGAGTAAACCTTCACTGATACTGGCAATTGCAACTGGAATACTACTGAGTTTATTTGCTTAGTCACTGGGAAGGGGCCAATAAATTTCAAGTCCAGTTTCTTGGAAAGCCTCGCAGAAATCAAAAATTTTGTCAAAAGCCATACCAAATCCCCTTCTGCAATCCTATCTCCCTCTTGTCTGTGTGCATCTGCTGCTTTTTGTATGCAGACTTTTCTAATTCTAGTTGTTCCTTTAAGAGGCTTTGGACTGCTTGCCCCTCATGCAGGAAATCTGAGGCACGAGGAATGGCACTTTCTTGCCTGGCTGTTGATAAGACCCACAGGTGGAAACCATCAGTTGTCTGGAATGGGGACATAATGGTAAAGGAGTGTGCTGCATTGTTGTAAGCAAATTCAGCAAGAGGTATGAGATCAGTTCAGTTGTCTTGCTGATATAATAGCTCTTAAACATTGCTGCAACAGTTGGTTAACCTCAGATTCTCTGTTGGAGGCTGGATGATACAAGGAAGACAAATGAATTAAATAAGTGCAAGAAGGCCTTCCAAAATTTGGAAGTGAACTGACTTCCTCTGTCTGAAATAACATGATTGACCAATCTTCTATATCTAAAAACATGGTCCAAAAAGAGCTGAGCTGTTTCCTGGGCCATTTGGAGGCCCCTGCAAGGAATAAAATGAGCCAGTTGGTAAATAAATCCACTACTACAAGTATCCGTGTATATCCATGCACTGGGAGAAGATTGGTGATAAAATCTAGAGAAACAGTGTCCCAGGGTTGTGATGGGGTCTCTAACGGCTGCAATAATCCAGCTGGTTTACCAGGAACCAGTTTCACTCTATGACAGACATGGTAAAAGGAAACATAATCCTTAATGTCTGCACCAAAGTGTGGCCACCAGAACTCTCTGAAGGCTCTATGTTGGATTTTAAATATGCCCGTGTCCTGCTGTTTTGTCATCACGGCACAGCTGTAGAACATATAAATGTCCATTGTGCCACAGCTGCCCTCCTTCCACTGTGAAAGGCACAAAATTACCTTGCTGGGATCCTTGGAGATCATCCATCCGGGCCCTTGTGAATGCATTCTGCTGTTGCTGTGCCCTAATCCAATCTAATAGAGCAACATTCTCTCTCCCTGCTCCCACCTTTTCAGGTTGCTCTAATTTATGTTGCGACTCAAAGTTGCATGGCTGAAGCATCATCACAGGGGAGGGTGACTGTGGCACATCATACTCCGGTTTATGTGACAGGGCATCTGGAAGTTTGTTTTGGGAGCCTGGAATGTAGGAGATGTAAAAATCAAAGCGGGAGAAAAATTGTGCCCACCTGATTTGCCAAAGGGTGAGAGATTGCACGTTCTGCAGAACTTCTAAACTCTTATGGTCTATATGGATTTGTATAGGGTTGGCAGCCCCTTCCAGCAGGTCTCCATTGCTGAAAGGCAGTTTTTAGCGGCAGCAACTCCTTATAGAAAATATCATAGTTCCTTTCTGCTGGAAGGAGCACTCTGGAGTAAAAGGGACACAGTAGCAGATCTGCCCCCCTTTCTCTCTCCACTTGGAGCAGGACTGCTCCTACTGCCACATCTGAAGCATCCTTCTGCACCACAAAGGGGTGGGAGAGGTTGGGGTGGCGGAGGAGGGGCTGAGAAGCATAGAGTTGTTTTAACTCTTGAAACACCGCTTGCTCTTGAGTCAACCAATAGAATTGCCGATTCTTTCTTAAGAGCCAAGACAGCGGTTTTACATGGTCAGAAAAATTAGGGATGAATTTCCAACAGAGATTAGCAAAGCCATGTCTTTCACATTACATGTGAGTGTGCATGTGCGCCATGATATAATAGACTGTACCTTTGCTGGATCCATCTGTATGCCTTCTGTTGAGATTCTGTACCCCAAATAGTCCAACTGAGGCAGATCAAATGCACATTTTTCTAGCTTGGCAAACTTAGCCCATAGTTTTTGCAATATATTTCTGACATGGGTGACATGCAAGGAGGGATCTTTGGAATAAGCCAAGATGCCATCTAAGTACACCGCCACGTATTTGTCTAAAATGTCTGAAAATACTTGGTTCATGAAGCTAGAAAAAACAGCCCCAAAGTTATCCAGGCCAAAAGGCATCACTGTATATTTGAACTTGCCGTATCTTGTATTGAAAACTCAAATATTCATGTCCTGCTTTCATTCTGATTAGGTCGTAAGCACTTCTCAAGTCTAGTTTTGTAAAGATGCATACCTTCTGTAGCTGGTCTAGTAGATCTGAGATAAGCGGAAGCAGATAATGATCTCTAATTGTCACTCTGTTCAGGTCTTTGTAGTCATGAATGGTACCCAGAGGGGCTCCCTCCTTTCCCTTCAGAGTGGCTACTGCCTCTCCTTCTTGTTTTCTGGGCACAAAAAAAGTTGGTGCAAATGATGGTGAGTTGGAAGGGCGAATGAACCCTTTTTTGATGCTGACATCCAAATATTCCTTGAGGATGGCTAACTCACAAGTAGATATGGGATACTGTCTCTTTGCTGGGATTTGGGCTCCTGGCTTCAAGTTGATGATGCAATCGCATGCTCAATGGGGGGTGGGGGGCAATACAGCTGACTCTTCTTCCCCAAACACATCTGCAAATCTGAATATTTTTCTGGTAGTGCCAATCCTCCCTTGTTCTGCATTGGAGTGGCAGAGGGGTCATAGGTTTGCACTGCTTATAAGCAATGCTGCTGGCATTTAGGAGAGTGAAATGAGAGTGTCCCTTGTATCCAATTTACATCTGGATCATGTAGTTGAAGCCACTCTATTCCCAAGATGATGGGCACTTGCAAGGAAGCAGTCATGTAAAGCATTATGAACTCTCTGTGATCTATGATGTGAACTGCAAAAGGGCCATGCTGCAAAATCGCCCTGCTCTTAGTGGCTGTCTATCAATCATCTTAATTATCACTGGGCTTTTTAGAGCTTGAGTAGGCAACTTTAGTTTCTGTACTGTTTCTACATCTATGAAATTAGTGGTTGCCCCCGAGTCTATAAGAGCAAAGAGTTCCACATACTGCCTCGAATCTAGAGTAACAATAATAGGAGTAATTAGGTATGTTTGCCTACTGTTAAACGGTTGAGGCCCCTCTTCAGAGCTCCTGGGAGGAAGGCCAGCGAAGTTT